ATGCGCGCCCCGAGCAGAGTGACTCCCTGCCACCTTGGTCTCAAAGCGGTGGCACAGATTAACCCGGGGCAGCCCACCCAGCGGGGGTGGGGAACCGCCCGGCTCTGGACGCCGGGGCGCGCGTGCGTGCGGGGGCTTCTTCCCGAGACGGCTTAGCTTTCATCAGCTTCCCGGAGGCTCTGACATGTGACCCCCTCCCCCAACACAAAACTGCCCTCTTGCAGTTTGGAGATGAAGGCATATTCTAGAACCTACGACGGTGATTTAAACCGTGAAGCACAGACTTAAATGGGTAATAAGCTTAAAGACCCGATTTTCACTGGCTAATGTCCCGAGCGGGGAAGAGCAATCAGAAGGTGAGTCTCGCTTTTAGCGAGCGCGTCTAGACGCCAGGCTGTTTGATTAAGCGCTACCTGGCCCGAGGTGGGGCACCGGAAGGCGGTGAGACTGACACACCGGCAAGATCAGGTTTGAAATGCAAACCGCCGCCACTTGGCCCCAATTAGAGGCCAAACCTTTTATGTAAACAGGGAATAATTAGCTTTGGTAACAGAAGCGTAAACAGAATCATCATCCATTGATTCGATAATTGCCCTTCGGTCCCATAACAATAGCCTGTAGGTCGGACATACCCAGCGCTCTTGAGGCATAGGTTAAGGGGTATTGCACTCCAAAATGGGGGGGGGGTCGGCTTTCCCCCACCCATTCCTCGCCATTAGCCCCACCAAGGTCTCCCTGGCTCTCAGATCCCTTCTAAAAGGAGGTAGGGCCGGGTTCACCGGTTTGGGTGGCAAACCCCTGTTGGTGGCGGGAGAATTTAAGCTGCTATCGCAAAGGAGTGGTGGCTGCAGCTGGGATTATTAAGTTCCTAGACACTGCAGTTTCTTCAAGAATTGCCCATCTTCAGCCTAGAACTCACGGACCCCAAAATCCCCCTTTTGGGAGCAGTTGACCCTCTCTCTCACCCTGGCTTTCATGTTCAAAGTCAAGTTGTGTGACTCTCATTCATTTGAAGCGCAGCCAGTTAGGCTCCCAGGCTGCAAGATGGCGTGGAAGTTACGCAGAGGCCAGAAGTTATGCCCTCTGCCCCATCGCAACCCGTGGGCATATCCAGCTTGCAAGGGCGTGGGAATCCGCAGAAATTTCTCGCGGAAGCACTTGAGGGCAATGCAATGCCACCAGCAACAAGCAGCTTCCTCAGCTCTAGAATTTTCTATATAGGAGGGATCTCCGAGTGGCAATGCTCCCACAGCATCCTAAATCTAGATTTGCATAACACTTAACACAGCATTGGTGAAATGTCACAAATGTCTACATCAAAGCCTGGGGCCACCGCTGTGCAAGCAGAAGGGGAAGGAAGGCTGCAGCCTCCTCCTAGCCTGCCCTGGATCTCAGGATGCTAGAGAATCTCAAGGCTACCCAGCCCCCAGCAGCACCTGGGAAGGTGTGGCAGCCATGGTGACAGCCTGAGTCCGTCTAGAGAAAGACCTGACCCACTTTCCGTGGAGCCTTTGGTCATAACTAGCTTTATCACCCTCCCCTGGGGACCCTGAGCTCAGAGTTGAGGTACCCTGAGGTGGAAGAGTCACTGCGTCCAAATGCCCTCCCCCAACCCACCCCTCATCCACCTCCTACCCCGCCCAGAGACAGTACCTTTGTCAAGGACAGGCCCAAAGATGGCCAGGCTGTCGTCTATGGTGGTGCAGTTCCAGCGGCGGCCCCGGAACTGGTGCTGGCACTCCTGGATGCCCAGCTTCACCCCCTCGGCCACGCTGGGCATGATTTCGATGTAATTGCGGCAGAAGCGCAGTTGCTTGGGGACCAGGCCTGGGATGGAGCCGCAGAGCAGAGGCTGAGAGCCCAGGGACGTGTACTGCTGGCCCAGGGCCAGGGACCTGTGGGCACACAGAGGGCAGTGGCACTGGAAGCACAAAGCACACGGCCTGTCACAGGCACCGTTTCTTCCCCATGAGCCCTTTAGGGTAGGTGGAGCAATAGAACCTGTGAGCCTGAACCCACAGTCCTGAGAAACCGGGCACTTGAATGCCGTCCTCAAAGGGCAAAGGTGTGACCCAGGAAACGTCAGCCCTCTGACGTGGGCAAATCCAGCTTGAAGAGGCCTGGGGACCAGAACCCTCTCATGAGGGCCCTCGGGGCCATAGCAATACCATGACAAGAACCTAGGACTGGAAAGATGGTATTGGAGGCCAGGTCAAGTCCGGCCCAGGCTCTGGGCCAATTTCCCTGGTGGGCATTGAAGAGATTGGTCTGGGCAATCTCCTAGGGAGTCTAGGTTTTTGGGGCCACATGAGACTTCCAATGACCGATGGGAAGGAACCCAAAACTAAAAACAGGAGGCGGCAGGAGCTGGTTCGACCACGGCCCTATCTCAGAAAAAGCAAGCCTTAGTCCCAGGAGGGCGCTTGTACTACATACATACATGTGTGTATGTGCATATGTGTGTGTGCCTACACACACACACACACACACACGCACGCACACACACACACACACACACACACCCATGGCAGTGCTCCTCAGCCTCTTCCCCAGGACACTGCCTCCCCAGCCCAGAGTCTCCCAGTGTCTCCCCAGGGAACTGGTGCCTTAAACCAGGTCCTCTGTCTTTTGTCCACCAGGGCCTCCATGGTCAACTCTTGCAGCTCTCTAGAAATTTCTAGAGTGCCATCTCTCTTCTCACCAGAGACTGGAGCTTGGCTTTGTTTAGCTCAGAGTCAGGAGGAAGAAGACCTCAGATCTTACTTCCCCACATAACACTATGTGACTTTGGTCAAGTCACCTCATTCTTCTGCCCTCCATTTTTAAATCAATATCCTAACAACTTCTCTGGTTTTATAATGAGTCAATGGAAGGAAAGGCTTTTGGAGAGCCGGTAGTTTAAACAAGACATATAGAAAATCAAAGTGCTAACTCTTCTACTTTCTCCCCTAGCACAGTAATAGCAGCAATGACATTTTGTGGGAGAAGCTGAGAAAATGATCCTGGGGTCTCCATCAACTTCAAGGCCAATTCCGATCAGCCCTGCAATCAGGGGCAGTGTGAACTGCAAGAAGGAGCACACCAAGGTCCGTCTCTCCTGTTATATCCAGCACTGACCAAAGCCTTAGTTGAGTCCCCCACGCAAAGTGATAGCAGACGCCTTGGGAATAGGATCCAGGAGACCCCAGTGACAGATCAGGAAAAAAACACACAAAAGCTTTCTGGACTAGACACAGGGATGAACCACACACCTGACATTTAACAGCTCCACGATGTGCCCCTGATGGGCACCACGGAGGGGCGGCTCTCGGCTCTGTTGTCAGAGAGATGAGGTGGGTTCTCATTTTTCCATTTGCTTATTTATTCTAGGGTCAAGGATTAGGGAACCAGATCTGGAAGTTCGGGTGGGCACATTTATGAGATATGGCCAAATACTGAATGTCAAGCCCTTTTAAGGAGAAGGGGCAACCTGCAGGCCTAACTTACCTGGGAATGGCTGTTCCTGAACTCCCTCATGCTGGCACTGGGCCGAGTCTTTTCCTTGACTGAATCTTTATGACAACCCTATGACATAGGAGGGGCGTTAGAGCAGCCCTGTGTTCCGATGGCTTAGCTCTGCAGATCAAGTAGCCAGCACAGACCACAGAGCTGCTAAGGAGCCGCTCATTGGTCCCCAGGCTGTCTGACTCCAAAGCACGTGGGGCAGACCACTGTGCCACCTTTCCTTCTAGGCAATGCCTGCCTGGTTCCTGAGGGGTGGGAATGGCTACAGGCCTGGCGCATCTGCGCCCTATGCCTTAGCACTGAGTCCGTGCCTGGGTAAGATGGAACGGGTCAGCTCAGATGGGCACATGGCACAGAGCACTTGACAGGGCCCTGCAGGTCACTCACCCCTGCCCTGCCCTGTTTATAGTTAGAAACGGGTTTGTGTGGTAATAACGATAAGCAAATCCCTATCACTGATTACCTTCTGGGCTGGTTCTGAGCGTTCACATGACGTAATCCTCACAGCAAGTCTGTGAGGTAGGAACTTTGTTATCACCGTCATGATCCCATTTCACAGATGAGAAACCCGAGGTCAGGGAGCTAAGTAACCTGCCCATCCACAGGGCTGCGCAGTGTCAGAGTCGAGCCTCTCTCCCAGCTCAGGCTGCCTCTCCACATGCTCTTAACCAGGACATCCAGCCCTGCCCTGCCAGCTGCACCAGCAGCCCTGCAATCACTGGGGAGGGAAACTGAGGCAGGGCTCAGTGCGGACGGCTCCGCCACATAGTGCCATGCTGGGATGGAGGCTCAGGAGTGGGGCTCCCCTGGGAAGGAGCCCAGGTCTTTTCCACTCCCTCCTATGACCTTTTAGGATACAAAGCCCTACATGGGGACAGCTGGAGAGAGGAGCTGAGGTAGAGGATGCCGCCACCCCCATGGCCACGCCTGTGTTCCTTCCTGAGTATGGAATCATGAGGGCCTGTAAAGGCGTGTGGTGGTGATTGCCTCCTTTCTCCCCATACCATGATCTGGTCTCTGACTGTCCCAGAGCAGCATAGAGAGACCTGGCACCAACCTCCCAGCCTCGGTGTCCCTCTCCTTTGGCCAGAGTACTCCCCAGTCTCCCCACCAGGGCCTGCATCCCTGTCTGTCCCTGGAGGTGTGGACCGGCCCTCCAGTGCCCATGCTCTCCATTAGCCTGGCCTCCTGTCCCCACTGCACACTCCGCTTGGGCAGGCCTCTCCCACAATCACCTCTGGCACCAGAGGTGCTTGCCTCATATCACCCTGCGTTTATTGGTCTGCTCACCAGCTAAGCCAGATTCCTAAGCCTCCAGCCTCCCTTTGCTCGGAGAGATGAAAGTAGAGCCCAAGGAGCACTCGGGGATCCTTCCTCTCCCCGCCCCCATGGCTTTCCTTCCTCCTCCTTCTCCTCCCTCTCCCAGCATTTGCCCTGCACCTGTTGGCACCTCTGCAGAACTGAGTACCCTCAAGCAAAGTGGGAGGCTGAGCCCTGGATCAGAATCAGAACCTACAAGAGGAACCCTAAGGGAGTGAAAGGCCCATTATACAGATGAGAAAGCAGAGGCCCCCAGAGAGAAGTGACTTGCCTAAGGCCACACAACCGGATCCGTGGAGCCAGGTTAGCCGGCTGCAGCTGCGTGGAAGGGGCACGGAAGGCGGGGTGAGGCATCGGGAAGTCCCTGCTGGCTAATAATCATCTCTACTTGGGGAGGCTGCTCCTCATCCCAACCCTTCAAGGGGCTTCCTGCTCCCTGGTGTCACCAATCCCCTCCCACAGGGTCCCAGGCAGCCTGCCTAGCCCAGCAGAGCCTTGAGCACTGGGCACTGGCTGGCATGGATGGCTTGGTCGGCCACAAGCCAGAGTTGCTCCCCTAATGTCTCCCAGGAGGAAGACACCACGGTCCCCTCCACTCCTCTGAGGGTCACCAAGCCCTCGCCAGTTGAGTCCTTCCTGTGGTACAATTGCAGTCTCTCCTCCAACCCAAGCGGATCTTCTCTTACCCTCTGCAGTCACATTTGACACTAGCTATAATAATGGCAACCATTTATTTAGCGCTTATGTGCCAGGCACTTCACATATATTTCTCATTTAATCCTCACAACAGCTCTGTGAGGTGGGTGCTGTCATCCTGTTTTACAGATGAGGAAACAGAGGCACAGAGAAGTTGGGTGACTTACAGAAGGAACTTGCCTGAATTCAGACCCTGGGTTTTTTTTGACTCCAAGTATGATGTCCTCTGAGAATAACTCCCGGCCTCAGTGATGATGAGTTCATCTCCCTCCTCCCACCAAACTGTCTCCTTCCTGCTCACCAGGTCCAACCAATTTGTGCTCCCAGAAGCCAGTCTGCCTCAGTTCAAATCCAGCTCTGCTATTCGCCAGCTGCTGATCTCAAGCAATTTATTTAAACTCTTCGTGCCTCAGTTTCTTCATTTGTAAAACAGACATAATGGGAGGTATAAATGATATAAAGTGCATGGCATCAGCAAGCCTTTAGTAAATGGTGGTCACCGGGGTTACCATGTGTTTAGGGGCCATCCCCAGCACTTTGTCTCCTGCCTGTCATCGACCTCATTCCTCCTGCCTTCCCATCTCTGACTTCATAGAGCAAACATATCAGAATTTTCAGAGCCCCTTCCCATCATCTATCACTAGGAAAAATGCCTTGGATCAGGGCAAAGCTAGCTCCTTGCCCAGCAGCTCCGTCCTAACCAGGGTGGCCGAATAGACGCATGATCTGGCTGAGAGTTGAAGGTGACCCAAAGGGCAAGGGCAAGGGCATAAGGATGTTTTCAGGATTCTTCATTCAAGATTTTCAGCTCAGCTCTGGACATCCTGCCGGTAATTAGCAAGGGCGTCTGGTGTTGGGGCTAATGAGACCGTGGCCGTGGGATTGACTGCTGCAGGATAGCTGCCCTCCCCCAAACATGCCCTGCTGCACCCCTGAGCCTGAGCCTCCTACCCACACACGGCTCACGTCTGAAATTCCAGCACCAGAGATGTGTGTTAGCTCAAAGCTTCTTGTCCGCATTACTGAAGTGCACAGTCCCCTAGAGAAGGTCACACAGTGAGCCTCATTCTCCTCAATTCTTTGTCCCAAAGTGTGGGCAGCTTTGATTAGGTAAGTCCAGGTACTGAATGGACTTGCAGCCTGCTGTTTCACACCTCCATGCCTTTGCACATGCTGAGCCCTCCACCTGGAGCGCCTCTCCGCTGCCCAAGCCCAGGCAGACATCTTACCCATTTTTCAACCTCTGATTCCTGTGTCTCCTCCATTCTAAAGACTTTCGTCAGAGGAGTAACCTCTCCTCCCTCTGGATTTTGCCTCTGCCTTATTCAACCCTTCTCTCTAAGCGCTGAACCGATTTGTTGCCAGTTCTATCTGG